TGATAAATAATTGGATTTGGGAGTTTTGTTATCTTAAAGTTGGATTTGGGAGTTGGATACTTTACCACCGGCTTGGACCGACCTTGAACAGAGGAGGAGTTTTCCTCTAAGACTATCCGCATTCGTTATCTTTTGTGGATGTCTTTAAATAAACAAATATTAAAAACACACTCTCTCTTTATTTTACTCAACTTTATACCTTCTCTTTCATTCTTTTACTCAATTTTTATTAATTTTATATTTAAACACACCTATATTCTCTCTCCAAAAGTCACTATTTATGTCTTCCTAAAGACACAATCTCTCCAACAATATCCACTATCTCCTCTCTTTACTCAAATTTTATTAATTTTATATTTCAATACACCCCATTATTTCAATCAAAAACACTCTTTTTCTTCCTTTTACTCAAATTTTAATAATTTTATATTTAAAGACATCCACATTTATCTCGCTCTAACAGAACCAAGAGATTCTGTTATTCGAACTTCGAAGCAAATAAAGAAAGTAAAAAGTTAATTAATTAGAGTATTTATTTTTATTGCCATATAACAAAATTACATTGGTTAAAAAAATAGGATAAGGATGGACCTTGTATATATATTTCTTTTCTTTTTGGTTTACAGAACCTTTTCAACTAATAAACTCAAAAATTAAAGTGGGGAACAAGAGAGATGCCACGTTAAAGGGGTAAGGTAGTAGTAGTTGGGTAAATTATGATTTTGACTGACTCAAATGTTTTAATGTCTCGTAGTGGAGACAGCTAAGACATTCAACTTGATGATGGTCGTGGTCCGGAAGTTTCTTCCTCCAAGTGGCTAGATCCCAAGGGAGCAGTCCCAACTCTTACGTAAAGTCTATAGAAATCAAATGTGTTTCAATGCTTGTGTAGATATTTACAAAAAATAGTTGTTTTACATTTCGATATAGTTGCTTAATTAGGTTTATGATTCTTTATTTTTCAATAAAATTGGAATTTACATATATGAATTTTCAAATGATCGATTTCATGTTAACGGTTAAAGTTTCACGTATTATCAGATACGCGCACCATATTTAGATAAGTTCTTATCTTCAACAAATGAAAAGGATCAAAGATGTGGCCTAGTGATAACCCAAGAGAGTTGGTTTTCTTGTGTTTCGGATTCAAATTCTTTTTGGTATGGAGGATTATTCTTTAAATCGGAATATCCAAAAACTGTCTCCAGATACTGAAGAGATTATGAATCAAATGTTCGGACTCCCAATGTTTATAAAAGAAAAAAAAAAACTTGCACGTGATATAAAAGACTAAAAAGTGACACAAAATGTTTACATACAAATTTCTTTCAAAAAGTTAATCGGCCTGAAGACGTTATTGAAAAAAACGTGTTGCAAATAACTTGGCCTATTTAAAGCCCATATTAGTTGACTTACTCGCAAAGGTTAGTATTGATTCTCTAGTTGACTTGTTCTCAAAGATCAGCCTTGATTCTCTCTTAAGGGTATGGAAAAGTTAGGGTTTCAAACTTTTCTTTTTTTGTCGAAAATTTAAAATTTTGTTTGCTTGAGCTTTCTATTGAAATTGTAGACTCGGTATTGAACATGGATTTTCTAATTTTTATTTACGGTTGGACAATGTTTCTTATTTATTATAGACTCAAAAGCTAACATGAACCGGCCCATTGGTCAAACACTACAAGAAAACACTCCAATTTTAACCATCAATTTGGTCTAAAATTGGTCAAACCGGCCATTTCTCACTAATATTTGATCAAAATCGATTCGTAAAAAATCGGTGGTCGCAAATAGATTTTGGTCAAAAAATAGTCAAAACTTTTTGACCAATAAAAATGGTAAAATATTTGGTTCTGACCAATCAGTTGGTCAAAACTTTTTGTTCTAACTGGTCGAAATTTTTTGATCAATCAAAATGGCCGAAACTATATGTTTTGACTAATTTTCGACTATATATTCTAACCAATTTTTGACCAACTTGAATATTTAATTTTTTTAAAAAATTGTATTCGTAAAT